ACAGTCACTATGAGCTGTTGCCCTAAATGGCCTCCATGTGATTAAGAATCTGCACTTCACCTGCGCTCTTCTTAGAAAGCGTGTGCTATGTTGTAATAGTAAATGCATATATGGTACACATACATAATGTATGCACACCCCTCTGACAGTGAAATCATGGCAACAAGGCTGAAAGTTTAAGTTTTGAGACCTCTAATCTTCCACTGGAAGGCAAGTATCGCAGTTTCCTTGTATTAACTAATGAAGTCTGGCCCAGTAGTTTAACTGGTGTGTATGTGGAAAGTTGTTAGCAAAGTCTTCCAAGCTCTTTTTTGGAAGGAAGATAGTATAAATTCTATTAATGTCCTAAATAGTTTTGATGTAAATATCCTGAACAGGGAAGCATTTGAAAGACTGTATAGGAAGCTGCACAGATGCCCAAGTTACTGTCGTAAAGTATATCCACAGGGAAGGGCATTAGCCTTAGTAATTTAATAATAAATTAAAGAAAGAAGGCAATGAGCAGTTCATTATTCTCAGCCAGCTAATTCAGGTAGTCCTCGATTTACAACAGTTCATTTAGTGATCATTTGAAGTTATAACAGCACTGAAAAAAGTGACTTATGACCATTTTTCACACTTACAACCATTGCAGCATAACCCCGTGGTCACAGGCGCTTGGCAACAGTTTCAGTATCCTGTGGTCATGTTCTTATGACCCTTTTATGACCTTTTGACAAGAAACATCAATGGGGAAGCCACTTAACATCTGTGTTACTAATTTAACAATTGCAGTGATTCACTTAACTGTGGCAAGAAAGGCCGTAAAATGGGGCAAAACTCATTTAACAAATGTTTCACTTAGCAACAGAAATTTTGAGCTCTTGTGGTCATAAGTCGAGGACTACCTCTACTGGGCTCTGGGGAGTTGCAACCCATATGGCAGGGAGGGCAGGTGTACTTCTCCACTATCCAGTGGAGAAGTAAACTATCCAGTAACTTCTGATACTATAGATCTCTTATTTGTTGCAAAATAAGATTCACCAACCATTTGTAACGTACAAGTAGTGTGAACCTATCTGCATTTCTACTTAAATGCATAATTGGCACTGATCTTTGATGCCAGCTGTGGCATCCCATCAGCAATATTTCCCAGCAAGCCCTGATGATTCCCATATTGTCAATTGTAAGCAGTGTCAAATGTGTGCTCATCCTAGTTGGGGATGCTCAGCGTTCCCCTTGTAAGGGAAGTATACGGTCTATTACAGTCAATGGGGGTTTTTTAAACCACTATGTAGAACAGACTCCCCCAGAGATCCATCTGGCAATGACTGCATCCTTCCATAAGGCTGCTAAGATAAAAGGTTTTATTCAGGGCTCTTGGAGTTTGATGTTACAGTGTCGTAATTGATTATATTGGCAATCTGGTTGTTATTTATTTGTTTTGTTATATTATCCTCTGCCTTGATGTATTCTGTTAATTATATACTGTTTCATTTGATGTCGTAAAATATCACTGTAAATTATTGCAGATTGGGGAAGGGGAGGGAGGGAGGGAGGGAGGGAAGAAGGAAGGAACAAAGCAACGAAGGAGGGAGGGAGGTAAATACAGGCAAACCTTGTCTTATAACCATTCATTTAGCAACCATCTGAATTTATAATAGCAGTGAAAAAAGGAACTTATGACCACACTTTTCACACTTTACAACTATTGCAGCTTCCCCATGGTCATGTGATCGAAATTTGGACACTTGGCAACTGGTTCATATTTAAGAAGTTTGCCATGTCCCAGGGTCACGTGATCACCTTTTGCAAACCTAGTGAGGAAGCTATTAACTTCGTTACTTTGTCAACAAGTGTGTTACTAACTTAACAGCTGGAGTGATTCATTTAGCAACTGTGGCAAGAAAGGTCATAAAATGCAGTAAAACTCACTTAACTGTCTTACTTAGCAATGGAAATGTTGGGCTCAATTGTGGTCGTACGTAAGTCAAGGACTATTTGTAAGGAAATGCAGCTTCTATGAAAAAATATAGATCAAAGTGGAAGGGTGAGGAAAGGACTGGAAATCATCCATCCAAAAAAATGTTGTGCATGATGGGCCAATCTATTATCAGGTGCATACAGGTAGTCCTCAACCTATGACCATAATTGAGCCCAAAATATATGTTGCTAAGTGAGAAATGTTTTAAGTGAGTTTTGCCCCATTTTACGACTTTTCTTGTCACGTTTGTTAAGTGAATCATTGCAGTTGTTGAGTTAGTAACCCAGTTGTTCAGCGAATCTTAATGGTTTCCCCGTTGACCTTGCTTGTCAGAAGGTTGCAAAAAGTGTTCATGTGACCGCCAGGACACTGCAGCCGTCATAAGTGTGAGTCAGTTGTCAAGCATCCAAATGTAAATCATATCACCCTGGGGATGCTGCAATGGTCATAAGTGTGAAAAACGGTCATAAGTCACTTTTTTTCAGTGCCGTTGTAAATTCGAATGGTCATTAAGTGAGCTGTTGTAAGTCGAGGACTACCTGTACATTCTGCAAAACAGTTTAGTATCTTGTTCAAAGTCTTCAAGAGAAAGTAAATCAACTAAGTCAAAATGGAGTTTGTACTGTATATCTTGTATATATTTCCAATAAAAGTGTGGATGGCAGCAAAGGTTCTCCAAAAATGGATAGGCTTTTGGAAAAACTTTTGGACGTATTATCAAATGTTACCTTTGAAAGAAAGGGATGACTCGTCCTGCTTTCTGGAACCAACTCTTCTAAAATATAAAGAACCAACATTTTAATAATCACAAAAGATAGAAAGAGATTTGGCATAACAGATAATAACCGAGTATAGACACCATATTGTTTTGTTTTGTTTTTAATTTGATTTACATGCCGCCCTTCTCCGGAGACTCAGGGCGGCTTACAATGCGTTAAGCAATAGCCTTCATACTTTTGTATATTTTTATACAAAGTCACCTTATTGCCCCCACAATCTGGGTCCTCAATTTACCTACCTTAGAAAGGATGGAAGGCTGAGTCAACCTTGAGCCTAGTGAGATTTGAACTTGCAGTAATTTCAGGCAGCTGATGTTAATAACTGTTAATAACAGTGCTTTAGTCTGCCGCACCACCAGGCTCTTTTTTGAGAGCCTTGTGAGAGAAGGATGTGATTTATCAGAAGCCATTCTATTTTTTTCCTGCTTAATTGGGGATTTCATTTGCATTTTAGCACTGCACTTTTCCTAATGTTTATTATGGCCCATTTGTAATCCTACAAATGCAGAATGGTTTATAACCCAAAAAATTGTTTCACACGGTAAGAGAGGTCCATCTTTCATGTAGAGCATTTGGCTGGCTTCAGGCATTCTAAATGTGGTGTGCAAAACTAAAACCACTTCTGTGTTACAGAGTTAACTGGATGATGGGTTGGAAAACATTTTTAAAAATCAGCCAATAGGCAGTTGCATCACCGCCAGCCATAAAAAGGCCTTGAATTGGCCTATATTTGTGCAGCTATTAATGGTAAAGTTGCCTGAGGCATAATGATCTCTTATAGGAGAATGGCACTACTGTTTAGGCACATAAAGCTTGTTAATGGTCATTTAATTACTTATCCCCAGCAAGTAAGGCCAGTTCTTATGATTTTGGAAAACAGGTGACGATTCTTAATTTTTTTTCCCCCTTTCAACCACTCAAGTCACAAATGACTGATACAGTTGGGTATACACCAGGGGTGAAATGCTCCTGGTTCGGACCAGATAGGGCGATCCGGTAGCAATTGTGGCAGGTGGTTCGGAGAACTGGTAGCGATGATGGCGCGAGGCTCCGCCCACCTGCCCGGGTGTCGTTACTTCCTGCTTTTAAAAGGTAAAAAAAAGGCTCTGACGATCGTGCGTCACACCTGTGATCATCAGAGCCCTTTTTTTTTACTTTTAAAAGCATTTTTTTACAACCTATTCGCCCGAATAGGTTATTAAAAAATGCTTTAAAAAAGTTTTTTTTTAAAGTTGGCCACGCCCACCCAGTCGCATTACCCCACCACCACCAAGCCACACCCACAGAACCGGTAGTAACAAATTTTACATTTCACCACTGGTATACACCTGGTAGTGGCTAATATCTCTAATATTTGTGATTTGTGTTTATCACACATGCATATTTTCAAATGTAATGAGCCTTAAGGTCTGCAATATGAACATCTTTTATGAAGACCATGAGTTCTAGTCATGCCTTAACCCTGAAAGCCAGCTGGGTGACTTTGGGCAGTCATTTTCTCTGGGCTCAACCCACCTAACTGGGTGGTTATTATGCGGAAAATAGGGAGGAGGTGAGGAGAAAAATGTGCTGGATATGTTCGCCACCTTGAGTTATTTGTAAAAATAAGAAAGGCAGGGTAGAAATAAATAAAATAAAATAGTAAAATAAATAAAGTAAAATAAAATAGGATCATTTTTAACCTCCCGACTCTTATTTAAGGGATTCTTATTTAAGTTCCATTAAATTTAATTTGCCATGTTTATTTAACTACTGGAAAAGTATATATTTGATGTAGTAATAAATAGCTATTTAAGTGGATGCCATAGCAGAATTTAACAATTTAGTTGGTGATTGCCAAATTTAAACTATACAGGTTGGCATGTGGATGAAAATAGATCTTAACGCATTTGATCTTTTTTCTGTTCCTTTGCTTTCCAGTAATTTAAGCAAGACAAATTTGAAGTGAATTTCATTTTAGAAAGGCTAGTTTTAAACTAACTTTATATGTGGTGTCTAAGAAGTCCACTTGCTGAATCTTTCTATCCATTCTTTGACTGTTTGTTTACAAGAGTCAAGTGATGATAAAAAGCAAGTCTTTAGTTCTGAAATTATGGTAAGACCAAAGCTAGAGATTAGCATTAGGGCTAGTAGCTCTGGTTCCAGCATCAAATATATAATATGTTTTGACCGGTGGCAGGAAAATGTTTTACTTGGGTTTTTTTTTTTAAAGCCAGAAACAGAGGCTTAAAGAGAATTCTCCCCTTCTTGTCTCATAGTCCTTGATCCTCTTGGCTCTGACCGGAGTTCTCTTCTTGGGTCTCAACCTTGTTTTCCTTGGCATCTATCTCATCTGCCTATCTTGCTGCAAGAAGGAGGAAGAGTCGGAGACTAAGAAGCCCAATTCTTGTTGCATCACCTGGACTGCTGTGGTAGCTGCTCTCATGTGTTGGTGAGTTTTTTCAGCCTGATCTGTAATAAGGGTGTGGGAAAGCTTTGAAAGCTTCCTTCAGTGACAGCTTTTAAAAGTATCCTCTATAAAAAGTTGTAACTCAAGAACCTTGGAATCCTGAGGGCTGGTTCTTCTCAAGAACTACAGCGTTCAATTAAGCAGTGGGTCCATAGGAAGACCCATTGGTCTTTTATTCTAAATAAATTCCCACTGGGTTTTCATCTGTTCTTCTTGTGATAAGATTGTGTATAAGATTGAAAAAAAACCTGAGAATATAAAATCTGTGTCCAAGGAAACTTTCCCAAGCTATCACAGATTTGAAGTTACTGCAAAATAAGATACTGAGTATTATTACCATAGCTTTTCTACTTTTTATTTTTTCTGGAATGAAAAAATTAGGCAAGTCCAGTTTTCTCCATTGCTTGTTGGAAGCCAGCTAGAAAGCTCACAATTGGCCATCACATGACCCTAGGATGTGCACTTGCAGTAAATAAATGTCAGTTGCTAAGCGCCCAAACCACAGTTGTGACTGTGGGGATTCTACAACAGTTGTAAGTGCAAAAACCACAGTTGTAAGCCACTTATTTCAGTGCTGTCATAGTTCGAACTGTTGCTTCATGAACGGTTGTAAGTCAAATAATACCTATATAGGTCTGGCAACTGAACAAAAACTTACTGTGTTTCTGATGAAGAAGTAAACATTTGTTCCATTAAATCCATGCTTTTATCATTAGTGAATATGTAACCTCCTTGCCTTCTGTTGGTTGTTTTGAAGGTTGTTTTGAGCCTGGCTAGGTGGCTCAGTGGCTAAGATGCTGAGCTTGTCGATCAGAAAGGTTGACAGTTCGGCGGTTCGAATCCCTAGCGTAGGTCTCCTGCGTGAGCAGGGGGTTGGACTAGATGACCTCCAAGCTCCCTTCCAACTCTGTTACTATTTGTTGAAGATTCTTCTCCTATGATTCATGATTCATGTCTCCAAGTCACTTAAGCTTTTGCTTCATTATTTGTTTGGTATCTAGTATTTCATGATTTGTCTTTGCATTCTAAAATATTCTTAACTTTTTTTCTCCAGCCACATAATTCAAAAACTATTTTTTTTCCATTTGGCTTTCCTGGTGGTCCAACTTTCAACGAAGGTCTTAATAGTGCATGGCTTTGTTGTCAGTGCATATCTCCTCACTTTAATCTTTTGAGTAGATCTATCATACTATTTCTCCCCAGCAGCAGATGCCTTTTTATTTCATGGATAAAGTTATCATCCTCTTTAGCGAGAAAGACAAAATCTATTTCTTATTCTACTTCTCTGCCTATTTGTATGGGCGTGGCTTTGTAACAATGTACTTCTTTTAATATTCGGAAGAGGACTGACTTTTTTAGTTTCCTCTTTCTCCTTTAAAAAAGACTCCTTAGGCATCAAAGTTGTATTACTAGTGTATCTGATGCTATTAAAGTTTCTTCCTAGAATTATGATTTGAAATTTCATTTCCTGTACTGCAGTATTTATGTGACGTTTATTTCATTTATATGCAGATTATAAGGGGGCAATAAAACAATGTCAGTGCACTCCTCCATTAATTTGGGAATATTTATTTGCTCCATATTGTCTTTGATTGCTTCCTAATCAGCCTGTACATTGTTCAATAGGCTGATGTGATCGCTTGGTATCATCCTATTTTTAACAGCTATCAATGATACCTTGTGATCTACACAGTTAAAAACAAATGAAGCAGTAAATGCTCTTTTTGTGAACCCTCTTGCCTTTTCCATTATCCATCAAATGTTAACAATGCAATCTCAAGTGCCCCCTACCTACCCTGAATCTGGTTTCTGCCTCTAGTAGTTCCATAGGCTATAGATACCTTAGCAATATTTTTCTTTGTGCTTGTGCCTGTTTTAAAGTTTTTTATTTTTATGTTTTTGTGAGGATGCTTTTCAGAAAGATAATTGTACAAGCCACAAGTTTTGATCACCAAGAAGTAAGTGGTCCAAGAAATAATATTTATCTTGAGGATCTGACTGAAAGGTGAGCTCATCCATTTATACTCTGTCTTGATGGTGATAATCAATTCATCACAACCTCTCAATGCTTTCAAAGAAACTGTCTTCCCAATTCTATAAATGAAATTTATAGAATTGGCACTTTAGCCAAGTGCTTGATTACCTGCTCTTTTTCCCCCTGCCACCCATATAAATGAGAGGTTCATTGGCTTCCCTTCCATGCCTGACTCAGAGAAGAAGGCCCATTTATCGGTGCCCCAAAGCATCACACATAATTCTAGGTTTTTCTTTAATATTGCTGAGAAGTCTTTTTGTTGTTGTTAGTTGCGAAGTCGTGTCCAACCCATCGCAACCCCATGGACAACGTTCCTCCAGGCCTTCCTGTCCTCTACTATCCTCTCGAGTCCATTTAAGCTCACGCCTACTGCTTCAGTGACTCCATCCATCCACCTCGTTCTCTGTCGTCCCTTACTTCTTTTTCCCTCAATCTTTCCCAGCATTAGGCTCTTCTCCAGTGAGTCCTTCCTTCTCATTAGGTGGCCAAAATATTTGAGTTTCATCTTCAGGCTCTGGCCTTCTAAAGAGCAATCAGGGTTGATCTCCTCTAGGACTGACCTGTTTGATCGTCTTGCAGTCCAAGGGATTCGCAGGAGTCTTCTCCAGTATCATAGTTCAAAGGCGTCAATTCTTTGGCGCTCAGTCTTTCTTATGGTCCAACTTTCACAGCCATACATTGCAACTGGGAAAACCATAGCCTTGACTATACGCACTTTTGTTGGCAGGGTGATGTCTCTGCTTTTTAGTATGTTGTCTAGGTTTGCCATAGCTTTCTTCCCCAGAAGCAAGTGTCTTAATTTCTTGGCTACAGTCTCCATCTTCAGAGATCTTGGAGCCCAAGAAAATAAAATTTGTCACTACCTCCATTTCTTCCCCAACTGGGTTAAAAATCTTTTAATTGGGGAATTTTAGGGGCAAGGAGTTTTAAATTGGAGAAGCCAAAGATAATTTAATTTCGTTTTAATGTATTTTAATATTTGTATTGTGTGTTTTTAATTTTGGCCGTTCACCGCCCCGAGTCCTTCGGGAGAGGGGGCGGTATAAAAAATTAATAAATAAATAAATAAATAATAAATAAATAAATCCATAACAGTTTAAACTTGGAAATGGACAACTGAATTCTGTTTTGCTCTGTTTAGAAATATGAGGGAAAAGAAGATTTTCAAATGTTACATTACATGCCCTGTAAGATCAAGAAATATTTTAACCATTTTATAAACAAGACTATTTCTCATCCTAAACTTACATAGAGATGGGGGTCAAATGTTGCTTTCTAAATTGTGGTTCAAGGCCCAAGTGTGGGCATATGCAAACAGCATCACCTTCCAGTGCTTTTGATAGTATCGTTCTGTTTCTTTTGAACTGGGTCAGTTTTAGCGTAAAACATTGGCCAGCTGATCTTATCTTTACTCAGCAACCTATAAATTGGTGCACCTATGCCTTCCAGATTTGTCACTGATAAAGACACCTGCCGAAAGGCATTTAGTTCATCTAAAGGATACAACAAAAGACAATTGTATGTCTTCTCCCCCTCGGCCCCTAATCAACCTGGTTCTGCTAAACTACTTTTGCAACTTTCTTGATGAAAGCAAACAAATGATGAAAGACAGCCACAGGAAGTTCATTTGTTACTGCTCACTGAACTTAATGAGTGTTTCTGTTCCTTTTTTTTATTATTAACCTTGTTTGTATTCCTCCCCTGTGCGATTTCTTGTCTGGAGTGGCATTATACTTGACAGTAAAGCAGAATACAGAAACCCAGGATGAAAGAATCATGGAAGAGTGATGCAGTTTGCAAGTAGTGACAATCCATGGAAAGAAAGAATGTCTTCTGGATATGTTTAGTTACTTAACAGCTGTCATCCCCTAAGTAGCAAAATGGCTAGGCCTGGCTAGGGTTGATGGGAGTTGTAGTCAAACATTGGGAAAGCTTCAAGTTGGGGAAGGTCGGTAGGTCTTTTGTGAAATTACATAAAGTGGCAAGAATTGTCCACTTTCATGGAAAGCTGAATTTTTGATGTTCTGTCTGACATTTCCTCCACATCACCAATAAGAAATAACCACTTTTTAAACCATGCATTTGCAACCTTAAGAAGAGATGTATTAGAGAAAATAAAGACCCTTTTCTTTCATCATTAATTTTTTTTTAATTACTTCATTTCTATGCTGCCCTGTTCCAAGCAGATTTGGTGTTTCAACTGTTTATCACATTTTTGCATAAAAACTGATAATAGATATGCCCTAAATGTATCTTGCTATTTGAGACTTTCAAACAGTAGCTGGCTTCATACATTGCCATGGTTATTCTGACTATGTTTACTGAGTAATCACAGTGCCCAAATTTATATATTAACCGCTCAGGGTTAATTCTTATTGGATCAGCAGATAAAGCCTGTAAACAAAGTGTTGTGTGAAAACATGAACCCGATAACATCTTAAATCAAAATCAAACAAACTGTAGGGTAGCTGAACACAGTAAGTAAACCAGGCCAGTCAAGTTACTTCTGGCTTTTATTGCTAATGTTTTGGTTTTTATTCTGTTTAAGAACTCGCAATATTAGAAATAGGCATTCTGTTTCACCATTTGGCTAACCTTAGCAACAAGCACAGAGGAAATGAAATGACATCCACATATGTGCTTCGTATATTTCCTTTCCATGTGTTTTCTGATGGGTTTCCATTGAATTCTGCTGGTTGCTCTTCTATAAACACTGTTCTCAATTAGATCATTCAGTTACTTGTTCCAACCAAGGCTTACAAGGATTTTAGTTCTTAATTGTTTGAGAGTCATCTGAGCCTCCCAAGGTGAAGGAGGGTTCTCCACCCCCACCCCCTCTAATTCTCTTTGCTGAATAGAACTATCTGTATTTAGGAATAAACATAATGATTAAACCAGCATGCTCTTCCCATGACTTGCTTCCTTCTCCAGAACAGAGGCACGTGAT